TGTCGTTCCAGCAGTGGTTGTAGGTCCAGCAGTGGTTGTAGTTCCAGCATTGGTTGTTGTTCCAGCAGCGGTTGTAGCTCCAGCGGTGGTTGTCGTTCCAGCAGCTGTTGTCGTTCCAGCAGTGGTTGTCGTTCCAGCAGTGGTTGTTGTTCCATCAGGTGTTGTCGTTCCGGCGGTGGTTGTCGTTCCAGCAATTGTCGTTATAGCAGTGGTTGTAGTTCCAGCAGCTGTTGTCGTTCTGGCTGTGGTTGTCGTTCCAGCAGTGGTTGTAGTCCCACCAGTGGTAGTTCCAGCAGTGGTTGTAGTTCCAGCAGTGGTTGTAGTTCCAGCAGTGGTTGTAGTTCCAGCAGTGGTTGTACCAGTTGTAGTTCCAGCAGTGGTTGTAGTTCCAGGAGCTGCTGTCGTTCCATCATTGGTTGTTGTTCAGCAGTGGTTGTAGTTCCAGCAGCTGTTGTCGTTCCATCAGTGGTTGTTGTTCCAGCAGTGGTTGTAGTTCCAGCAGTGGTTGTTGTTCCAGCAGCGGTTGTAGTTCCAGCGGTGGTTGTCGTTCCAGCAGCTGTTGTCGTTCCAGTAGTGGTTGTTGTTCCATCAGGTGTTGTCGTTCCAGCGGTGGTTGTCGTTCCAGCAGATGACGTTATAGCAGTGGTTGTAGTTCCACCGCTGGTAGTTGTTCCAGCAGTGGTTGTAGTTCCAGCAGCTGTTGTCTTTCCAGCAGTGGTTGTAGTTCCAGCAGTGTTTGTCGTTCCAGCAGTGTTTGTCGTTCCAGCAGCGGATGTCGTTCCAGCAGTGGTTGTCGTTCCAGCAGCGGTTGTCGTTCCAGCAGAGGTTGTAGTTCCAGCAGTGGTTCCAGCAGTGGTTGTAGTTCCAGCAGCGGTTGTAGTTCCAGCAGTTGTCGTTCCAGCAGTGGTTGTCGTTCCAGCAGTGGTTGTACCAGCAGCCAGCAGCCCAGCAGTGTAGCAGCCAGCAGCGGTTGTCGTTCCAGCAGTGGTTGTCGTTCCAGCAGCGGTTGTCGTTCCAGCAGAGGTTGTAGTTCCAGCAGTGGTTGTAATTCCAACAGTGGTTGTAGTTCCAGCAGTGGTTGTCGTTCCAGCAGTGATTGTGACTGGATCAGTGTCTACGGCTTTTACTGTACAATTAAGCCCTTTGAAGTGAATTGTCTCCGTGACGGTAAGGCTGACATTTGTCCCTCGCTCTGTTGTCAGCACGTTCGTCGGACCAGCAGTGCCGCAGTACCTATGGGAAAAGAAATAAATGAACGCTTGTTTGTAATGGGAGAAAACACTTTCTCTACAGGGCAGGCTGGAGAATGACACTGCATAGCGCCATTTTTTCTTTATGTAGAGAGCTCTTACTTACGTTTCGGGAGAAGCAGAGGTGATGCTGAGGAAGTCTCCCAGGCAGAAGAGAAGCCACACACCAACACTGAAGTCGGGGCAGTCAATTAATATTATGTCGTCGGGATCAGTGGCCTGGTGTTGAATAATCATATCGTTAGGCTGTTACGATGCGTGGATACAGTTTGATGGTGTTTTATATCAATGCACGCTATTTCATATCATTGCATTTAATAATGTATAATAGTGGATGCATTTACTTGCATTCAGCCTGCGCATTCTATGCAATTACATATAGGCTTTTTCCAAATCATAAATATATATATAAGTCATATTTATTATAATCTTCTTAATCATCACTGTTATTATCATTTTGGTCATACATAGTGTTATTAGTAGCAGAATCATTACCATCAGGATTATCGTGAACAGTTTTGTCATTACAACACTGAGCGATATCATTGTTAGTATTTTAAAGTAATGAGTATAGTTCTATGAAACATAACAGTGTTTTTGTTTTTCTTTTTTTTCCCTCGGTATTTTCGGAGAGAAGTAGAGATATTAAGAGATAAAATGAGAAAAGCGAGTGTGAGAGAGAAAGAGAAAGAGAGAGAATAGATAATAACTAGAACTCACACAGAAACCCCAGTATGTACTGTCTCTAGCATCATAATGTGTCCAGCCACACCTCGTTTTCTGATTATGAAATTCACAACAGTTTAACCATCTGTTGCAGGAATAATATACTGCTGTATGTAACACACATACATATACATATAAATGTTTGTTTGTTTGTTTTTTCGATTATTTTCATAGTCTAAGAGTTACCTGTCGGGTTATTGACATCACTACACATATTGTTTGGCAGCGCTGTTGTTAGCTGAGTCGTTGCGGGATCTTGTCGTTTTATCATTAGTTGCAGTTTCTCCCGTAGTTGTGGTATCAGCAGTTGTAGTTCCATCAGTAGTTGTGGTTCCATCAGTGATCGTGGTTCTAGCAGTGGTTGTGTTTCTAGCAGTGGTTGTCGTTCCAGCAGTGGTTGTAGTTCCATCAGTGGTTGTTGTACCAGCAGTGGTTGTGGTCCCAGCAGTGGTTGTGACTGGATCAGTGTCTACGGCTTTTACTGCACAGTTAAACCCTTTGTATTTCGCGTGCCTACGACCATG